ACCAACAATGGAGAAGGGTTCCTTTCTCCCCACAACCCCGCCAACATTTGTTATTGTGTGATTTATTGATAGCAGCCATTCTTTGTGGGGTGAGGTGGAATCTCAGTGTTGTTTTCATCTGCATCTCTCAAATGATCAGTGATGTGGAACATTTTCTCATATATTTACTTGCTGCTTTTACTTCTTTGAGAAATGTCTGTTCATTTCGGGTGCCCATTTTTGAATCGGGTCTTTATATTTGGGGGGACTGATTGTTTTGAGTTCTTTATATATCCTTGATAATAGTCCTTTGTCTGAAAGAGAAGTATGAGCACCCATGTTTATTTCAGCACAGTTTGTAATAGCTAAATCTTGGAAACAGCCCATTTGCCCATCCGTTGGAAACTTGATAAATAAGACGTGGTTTTTCTATAAAATGGAATATTACTCAGCCATAAAGAATGAGAAAATAGATTCATTCATAGGAAAATGGATACATATTGAAGACTAAGTGAAAATACTAAGTGAAATAAATAAGTTACACATGTGTAAATACCGAATAGTTTCCCTGGTGTGAATAATCTGCAATAATACATAAGATTCTAATAAGATTACTGACATTTAGAAATGGGAAGAAAGGAGCTAAAGGTGTAGGGAAGGTGGGATGGGTAGGGGAAGGGTAATAAGGGAAAAGAAAAAAATGTGAGATAATGAAAAGATGAAAATAAAGTGTTTGTAGATGGGGAGGGGAGGAGGGGGTGAAGGGAGGGCAGAGGTAAGGGGAAAAAATGAGAATCAAGACGTCATGTAGAGGTACAAGATCCCAACAATGAATGTAACTGTACTGTATCCCTAAAATGTACCAATAAACTCAATTAAAGCTGAAAAAAATACAAAAAAATAAACTAAGGGAAAAAAATAAATAAATGCAAAATTGGGTTTTAAAATATCATCCATTATTCATAAGAAAGCTTTCTAAATAAATTGTAAAAGAGACTGAAATAAAGGGACACACAAGTAAGAAAAGGGGAAACAACAACAAAATTAAATGTAAAACAAAATTGTGTTTAAAAATTTACCTGTTATTTTAAGAACGTCTTCTAAACAACATGACAGCGATACGTTAAAAATTAAATGACTTGTATTTATGCAAATGGAAAGAGAAATGAAACTAGAAGTGATAATAATGTTAACATTTGTCAGCTGGAATTCAATTCCAAATGAGGAAGCAGAATAAAAAGGGAAGGACACTCATGAAAACTACCATCCACAGTGGACACACAACAAGCTTAAGCTTTCACTGGATAATGAAAGAGCCAAATTTACAAATCCAAATTCCTGGAGCTCAGAGATCACAAACATACACAAAACTAGAGCAAAAGTTTATTGTATATACACAAAAGCATGTATGCATTCATATATACAGGCACATATGTATAAATCTCTATTTCAGAGTATGATAGTTCAGGCACATAAAATAGAAAAAGAATATTCTTAATATAAAATGTTTAAGTACTACCATCAGCAAGCTTAGCAATAAAGCATTATAACCTTTAAATGTAGAACTATGCATTCTTTTCTTGCCTATGAAAGATCTACAAAAATTAATCTGTACATAAATTGACACATAAAGAAAACCTAAAAATTCTAAAATATTTAGAAGGAATATTTTAAAATATAATTTATAAAATTTTGGCAATATATCATTTGAGATAACTCACTCTAATTTCCTCAAAAGATATCTAATCATAAATTAAGAAAGCCTTGTCCAAGTAGTCCCTAGGAGAAAAAAAGGGAAAAAGAAAATTATAGCTTTTCTAGACTAAAAATGAAAAAGGGATGAAAGGGAAACTAGTTCATCTAAACATTATATTTAAAATGAATGAAGAGGTACAATCATAGGAGAAAATCTATATATAAATCTAGAGAAAAAAATTTTACAATAAAACTGGCATTTCAATTTGATAAGGCAAAGAATGCTTTATTTAACAAGTGATCCCGGCATAACTGGTGACAACAATAGCAACAAAATCCAAAGTAGACTTTCTTCATATTAAAATAAATTCCATATTAAATATATAAATACTATAGAAAAAATTTTTAAAACATTTAAAATTTATTTGTGTAATCCCAAAGCAAGTGAGCAAGCCTTATGTAGGACAGGCCATCTTATATAAATGAGCTCTGAGTTAAAGAAATTCATAATCTAGTACCACAAATAACACAAATATGTTAGTTGTGAGGTATGAGTGAAAATAATGAGGCCTCAGAGGACAATGCAGTTCTTTCAATGGCAGACATTAGGGAAAGGTTCACAGAAGCACCATTATCTGAGCTGTTTTTAAATGATGAAGGGGCACCTTCTGGTCAGTATATGCGAAGGTGTAGTTAATAGAGGACCTGCTGATCCAGTACCAGTGAAAATGGCAATGTCATTGAAGCAGAGAATGAATGATTGCAGAGGCTGAAAATGGACCAAACTGTGAAAGAGTTCATCTGCCAAGCTGAGAAATGTTAATTTAACTGTGTTACTTTTCAATTGCGTAGGCTATTGAAGATATGGGGATGGCCACATAAACCCAAGAGAATAGGAACTCACTGGCAGGGTGTGGAAACATGGTTCAGCCAAGAGTAGTTCAGTCTAGATCCTAATGTCTTTTCCTCCTCCTCCTCCTCCTCTTCTTCATCTTCTTTTTCTTCTTCTTCTTCCACCTCCCCTCTCTTTCCCCTTCCCCTTCTCCTTCTCCTCCTTCTCTTTCTTCTTCCTAACAGTTTTAATCATAGCCTTGCCCCCAAGCCAAAGTAGACTTATCCCAGCCTCTCTTGCAGCTATGTCTGCCCATGTGATCAAGGTGTGGCTCATAAGCCTTAGGCAGAAGTGCTGCATGAATAGCCCAGAATGTCCCATAAAAGAAAGACTCTTTTATTCTTTATCCAGGCTGTCAAAGGATGTGATGTTTGGACAATTATGGCAAGCTAGAATAGTGAAGCCATCACAAAGATGTTGGTGGCTTCTGGAAGACTGTGGAGATATATTCTGTGAGTAAGGCATCAGTCTCTGCCTTGTTGAAGCTACAAATGCCCACCCTCTATCCCAACTGCTAAAGATGAGTGCTAATGGTATTGTAATGAGAAAAGCTTGCACTTAAGGAGTTGTTTCAGGAAAAATCATGGCTGAGAAAGGTGAGGCAGGAATGTAGTCTAGCAGAAACCAAGAGAGCAAAACATATTTAGGAGGTAAAATGGAAACCAAATAGTATCACATGTTGAAAACAGCCATGTAGGAAAAGATTTGAATGCAGTTACAAAGTCATTGTTGACATAAGAAAAGCAATTTTCAAAACATGGTAAATTATGAAAGCCAAGTTATAGTGGGTTTCTCAGGGAATGAGAGGCAATGAAGCTGAATTAATGATTAATTTCAGGGAAAGGAAAATAAAACAATAGGTTAAAGACCAGGTAAGGAGGAAAAGAAATGTTTGACGCCTTTTCCCCCAGCCAAACTCTGTCTCCCACCATCATGATTCAGCTAAGATTAGCTAATGTTTATTAAAAATGAAAGTTTACTTAATCTTTTGATAATAAACTCAAAGTCTTCAAAATATTAGGAACAATCAGCCCTTCTCATTCATGACTGGGCTCTTCCCTGCCATTACATAGTATGTCATTCTCAAAAGCCAATATTTTCTGATCCCAACTCAAATTCAGTGGAGGCATATGTGTGAACATAAATGGGCAGGGACGGATGTGATACAAAACCCTGAGGTTGAAAGAAACAAGGCTTCTTTTAATTCTGTAGAGGTTCCTATCCAATTATTCAAAGATTTGGAGGTATCACTTGTTTCTATCATGGGCTTTCAAATCCACATAAGAAAATGCAAAAACACTTCGTATATGGGGCCTTACCCAACTCTTTTGCTCATACCCCCATTCCCCAGGCCCGGTCCCTAGCTCTAACCCCCTTTCCTTCCTCCACTCCTGTCTGCCTTCTTCCCTCTGCTCTTTCTATCCCTCTTTCTTCCATCCTATCTCTCTTTCCTCTTTTCCTTCCGGGGAGAAAATATAATTACCTTGAGATAGAAGCTACATGAGAAAGGGTGATATGCTAGATTGTGTGAGATATTTTCATACCTATAGAGTGCCAATGACAGATAACTCTTACTAAAAAAGAATACGAATTAAATATTAGGGGTAGGAGCAGAGGCCACCAAGATTAAAGATGTAACTTGATCAAATGAAATATGACCACTGTAAATGTGTTGAATTTATGAATATGGTCTAGATCACATTTAGTGAGATGCTTTCAAGCTATTATATATTTTTAATAATGATAAATGTGTCATAGAATATAGTTTATGGTTGTATGAAAGTGAGGTCAAATCAATACTGGGAGAATTTTCTAATCATGTGTAGACTCAATCTGTTTTGGAAACACTTGCAAGTCTTCTGAATATTTTAAATGCATTTTTCTATGTGCTAAAAAAAGAACAAGTTTGCATTATGTTCTCTAATAGAAAATATAAAAAATAGATCTCCATTCCTCTCAATCAGAATGTTTTTCCTGCCTTCCTGAACTTGCTTGCTAACAGAAGAGATGAAAATAATTTGAAAAATGTGAATTTCCTCTACCATAGGCCATTGTTCAACTCAGCAAGTTTCAACTTCAAATATCAGTTTAAGAATATTTAAAACAAACTTCTTTACTTTGCAATGGGCCTATGACTTTGGGTGCTGTGGGAAGAGAAGTTTAACACTGAGCCCCCACAGGGCCGCAGAGAGGGGCTCCTCTAATCTGACTCCCTCTCCGTGATGCAATGCATGTCTTTTGCCACATCTTTATAAAATGAAAACCCCACAGAGCTATTTGAAGATAAAAAAAATTTTTGTATACTTTATTTTTCAAAGCACTGATATGTCTCAGTTCCAGTTAGCTACAGTACAAAGGATAATAAAACAGCACCTGGAAATATTTTTAATGGGTTGTAAAGAATCTTGACTCTTGTATAGTCATTTTATTCTTATTTTGCTAAAGGATGGAAGCAGCTCCCCCTCCCCCATGCCTCAGCTGCTCAGGTTGTCATTGGCCTTATTTTCATTCTCACAACCCTAAGGGAGTAGTCTGCTCCTTTAAAGGGGACCCAGACCACTCCATTCTCTATCTCATAGGGGCTGTTATTCCTGGGGTCATAGGTGCCCCCGGGGTAGTAGATGCCATTGAGGTTGGCTGCCTGGCAGTTATTGTACCACCAGCCTCCTCCGTAGACCTCCGCACAGTTTTCTTCCCACCGGTCTGCGTCCCTGTCAAAGGTGCTGAACTGCATGCCGTCGTGAGAGGTGTACTCTGCCCCTTCCTCCACAGAACCTTCCATCAGGGCGTCGCCAGCGCTGCCCCGGTAGGAGGAGACCTGCAGGGCGTAGCCTTCGGCCTCGGAGCCCACCCGCACATGGTATTCTGCGAATGCCCCCTTCCCGGCCCAGTCCTCCAACTCAACTCTGAGGACCGCTCCCCTCTGCGTGAGCGAGTGGAGGTGCTCATTGCCTAGCCAGAATTCTCCTTCTCCCTTGTCATTCAGGCTGCCGAAACCTCTCTTGTAGTCTTGCCAGGTGCGGTTAAAATTCACTGAGCCATCCATTCTTTGCTGGATCAAAAGCCATCCTCCCAAACTGGTCTCTTGATTGCAATAAACAGAAAAAATCTTACTGGATCCTGGTGGCTTGATATTGAAAATGCCACTCTGGGCACCTGAAGGGTGTGTTTGGAGGACATCGCCACAGTCTAAAAAAAAAATTGAGCTGGTTGGAGGAGGTTACTCTCATTTAGCTTTACAAAGATAGGCACTGCCCAGATTAAACAGGGCAGATACTGCTTTTTTCCCTCCCTTCTTTCCTTCCTTCCTTCTTCCCATGAGAAGAGGAGGCACCCTCACTGGGATATGATTTTATGCAAATGAGGGAAAGTGAGATCTACAAAATGCAAATTTCCTCAAATGGATTTGGAATTTTGCTTGCACATACTAATAGCCAGTAACCATCAAGACTAGTTAAGCATCAATTAACATTAATACACCTTGGTTTCTAACCCGCTGTAAGTGTCAACTGAGACCCATACTAAACCGTGATTAGTTAATTGTGTGACAATCCCAATAGCACTCATTTCAAATGGTGGAAGAATTTGATCAAGCAAACTAAAGACCGGGTTCCAGAAGGATTCATTCATTCATTGAACATGTGTTTATTGACTGAGGACACTGCCCTGTTGGGGATACAGAGATGTCCAACAAAGTCCCTGCCCCAGTGGAACTTACAGTCTAGCGTGAAACACAGATCGAAAAAGTGTACTTTCAATGAAGTGTAATAGAGGGTTAGGAAAGAAGAGCAAGGTGCTTTGGAGGCACTTTTCAGAAGTAATTGGCTTAGTTTAGAGGGTGAGGGAAGGCTTCCCCAAAGGAGAAGTGTGGATACCTCTAGAAGGGCGGGCTTTAGCATAGCCTCTCTTGATGCTGTGTGCGTCTCTCAGGTCCTCTTGACCGGCTTCACTTCCAGCTTCGTCTGCCATTTTCATGTTCTTGGTTTCAAACGTGGAGCCTCCTTTATTGTAAGTTGTGATGCCACTTACTTGCTTTCTGTAACTTGTAGTACCACTGCTGGAATACTCAGGGGTTTCAAAGGTATGAGAGCCAGCGTCCTCCATACCTGTGAAGAAGGATGATTCTGTGCCTCTAGACTGGGTCTTACTGCCAAACTCTTTGAAGGTAGATGGGGGAAACAACGATGTTAATTTTCCAGTTGAAGATGTATCAAAGAAAGAAGCTTCATCAGGGTGCCTCTCGGCAAATTCATCCAGTCTGCCTTGGGTACTGAAACCACGCAGCACATCTAAGTCTGGGCCACCCCCACAGTCAGCAGGGTCTTCAGAGTTCACCACTTCTTTGGTCACCTTCTTGCTACCGTCAGAAGCAATAACAGTCTTGGTGACTGTTTTAGAGCATGAGTGGCGTGAAGTGGTTGTGCCAGTAGAGGTGACCTTCTCGTCCCCGATCACAAGCTCCTTTTCTCCTTTAGAAGTGACCAGTTTACCCGTGTAGTGTTCCTTCCTTGTTCCTGGACTTACACTTCCTGACACTTCTTCAAATCTACCCCAGTCTGGGTTTGCAGGCCTGTTGCTACCGTAGCCTGAGCTATCTGGTCTAAAACTTCCAGATGCAGGGTTTCCTGGGTTCCTAGTTCCACCGTAAGCAGGCCCGGAGATGCCCGGATTCCAGTCCGCAGTGCCACTAGAAGCAGCACCTCCTGGGTTCCGATTTCCATCACCTCCAGGTCCAGAGCTCTCAGGGTTCCAATGTCCGACACCACCGGTCCCAGGCTTCCTGGGACTTTCACTCTCTGATCCTGTGCCATGAGGTGCAGAGTCTCCTCGAGAACTGCCCTCTGACCCAGGCCTCACCAGCTCCATTCGCATCTGCTGCATCTCTGTCAATGCCCTCCACTCTGGAAGGGCCGTCTGCAGCTGGCTCTTGAACTGTGCAGGAACCAGATCTGGGACCGGTTTCATTTTTATCAGGGGTAAGAACTGCCTGTCTCTAGAGGGAAGCAAGTCCTTGGCAATGACCTGATCGAATTGCTTCTGCTGCTCTTCGTAGTCCCGCAGATTCACCTCACGGACCAAAGCCCTGCTGCAGGACCCCTTGCAAGACCGGATCTTAATATCAATGTCCACCTAAAGAGAGAAAAACAAAGGGGAGAAAGAAAGGAGCTGTGTGTTCTGAGTTCCTGGCCGTTAATTTATCTTTTGGAACTGATTTTATTTCTTTGGCTTCCAGCCCTACCAATTGATGCTCTGTTCTCCACTCAGGAATATCCTCAATGTGTTAAGGCCAGGATATGCACCAATTCCTCCTAGACTTAGAATGGGTCAAGAATAAGCTGCTATTTCTTCCAAAAGGAAGCACTAATTAAGGGATCTTTGATGAGACTGAGGCTGAGACCTCAGGCCTGTGATGTTGTAGGCTTTGGAATCCAGATAAGATCGAACTGTTGCTTTCCAAATTTACTATTTATGTGCCCTTGAAAATTTTTGTAATATCGCCCAAATTTTTTCTTCATTTGTAGAGTTCAGAAAGGCATATCCACTTTTCCATAGATAATGTATGTAGCAGTTTTCTCTGCTGAGACTTGATACATGATACTGCTGTCCTTTTCCCTACCATTTAAAAGCAAAGAAACTGGGGGGGGGTGAAGGGAGGGCAGGGACAAGGGGAAAAAACGAGAACCAAGACCTGTCATGTAAAGGCACAAGATCCCAGTAATGAATGTAACTATACTGTATACCTAAAATGTACCAATAAGCTCAATTAAAAAAATAAAAAGAAATGGGGTGTCCGAGCCTGTGCTTCCTTACCTCCAAGCGTTTCATGTCTATCAGCTGAGCCTTGACGTTGTTCTGCAGAAGCTGGATTTGCTGTGCTTTCTCAATGACTTTGCGCCTCAGAATCTCTATTCTGCTTCTCAGGTCTTCTGACACCTGGTTGTAAGTATTGTCATTGTCTGCAGGAGATGATACAGACAGTGAAGCAGGTGCTGCGTGCTTTGTAATATACAACCTCCCCACACACAAAGAAATGTCCTTCGAAATATCCCTCATTTTATTTGGGTTACAGTGCGTTCCCAGACATTTAATCTGTGAGTTTCAAGCGTATTAAGCATTTTGCATTTGGATGACGTTATGTCCTCTAATCCTTAGGTTCTCAGTTATGATCTCCTAATAGTGATTAATAATGCACATGAATATAAAGAAAATTTCCTCAGCAATTTAAAAGTATGGTAAGGAGATAAAATGAGCAGTTTGAGCACATTCTAATTATTTCATCCTATCTCAAGGGATTTGAATGTACTGTTGCATTTTCTGATTGAAGAGTTTCTCTTTCCACCAACAGATCTGAAGTTGTTCCCAGACTTTTGTGGGGTCACCAGAACTATTCATTGACCAGCTGATATTGTACCATTGGAATTATATTAATTGGGTAGATCCTTAAAATAGGATGAAGCAAAGCAAGGCTTCGGGACCAGGGACTTCCCTGGACTGGCTGTGTGAGTCCGGCATAAATGCAGCTTCCTGGCCCCAATAAGTGTCCTCTGAGAAAAATAGAGTATAGCTTTGCATTTAACACACACACACACACAGACACAAACTTCAAATCTACATATCAGCTCTGTGAAGTCATGGGTTGGGCTCCCGGATTTGTGGCCATTGAATAAATCACTTGACTGCTAAGTTACCTCGACAAAAACATCTACTCAAATGTCTGGACTCAAAACCTCATTTTCAATATTGATTTTGAGGGGAACATGCTTGAATTCTTGTCTTCAATCCAAAAATCTGAGTTATTTTGTAATCTTAAATAATCTAGGCTAACCTCTTCTGCTTTATAAAGATGATGACAAACCTTTTCCTAAAATTCAAGACTATCATGGAAATGTGTGTTTCTACACTAAGTATTTTTGAAATAAATTACAATAGCTATAAGTAGACATTATTATTCAGGATTTGTGCTGTTGTTTTTGCTATAAATCAAAACACCAATATTTAATGCTTACTATTGGCTTTGGCAAAGTCCCCTCTCAAAATCTCCATTATGTTCCTGTATGTACTGGAATCTTTATTGTTCTTTTGATAATCAAACAGTGCATTCTTCAGCTTATTTATTCTGTTTGTAAAATCTTGGTTGACTTCATCAATCAGCCCTTTCATCCTGCAGCCAGAAGGGCATTTGTATCCCTGAAAATAAAGAGGAAAAACCACTCTGAGAGTCTGTGTCTTAGATCCAAACCAATATTCCAGATTTCCAGGAAGCTCTCATTGCTTCTGATCATCTGCTGGCTTAAAAGTAGCTAAGAGGTCTACTTACAGGTCATAGAGAAATTTTGGAACTGTGATCCATCTAACCACAAGTTAGACCCCATGAAACCTGAGGTCCTAGTACTCAGGTCCTACCACTTGCATGCAGCTAAAACCCAATCTGTTGTTCATCCCATTAAATGGTGCAGAGGCAGGGAGTTACTTAGACTGTGCTCTGAGGTCTATGTTCCTGTTTACTTGCTGTCTTTATTTCAGAAAGCAAGGAGCTAGATCACTATGAGCTTTCTTCTCACTGGGAAAGCTTTCTGGAGTCACCCTGTGCACCTGCCCGAAGTCCTTAGGGAGGACTCCTGCACCCACATCCTCCACTTACCCAGTCCTCATCAGAACAGAACGGCCAGTCAGTTTCTTTGCAGGCAGACTGCTGTCTCTCCATGAGTCTTGGGCCACGCACAGCTGCTCCTTCTTCTATAAACTCTCCATGAGTGTCTGCGGTCTTTAAACACACACACACACACACACACACACACACACACACACACGCACACACACATGAGCAAAGTCAACAAGTTAGCCAAGAGGGGAGACACTGCCCTGCCTACAGGTCCCAAGAAAGAAATGGCTGTGCTGTGGAGATTACAAGGGACAGTGTCCCCCAGAAGCTTAGGTTTCCTACCTTCAGTGGAAACCCTAATACCATTGTATGAACTTCTGAGGACTAAAGGAGATGAACTGTATACATTTTTAAGTGTGCCTGATACTACTAAGCAACCAATCAATGTCAGTAGTTTCATAGGTTCATGATAAAAGGAATATTTGCCCATCAACTGGAGACTGGATAAAGAAGATGTGGTAGTACTCCAGCCATAAAGAACAAGAAACTAGAGACATTTATAGCTAAGTGGATGAACATTGAGGACATATGCTTAAATTCAATTAATAGGACACATGTGTGAATACCGTATAGTGATAAACTAAAAGTATAAATAAGGGGCAAAATGTATAATTGATATTTTGTAATAGGGAGAAAAGGTCTAAAGGTATTGGGCAAATGGGAGGGGTAGGAGAAAGGTAAAAAGGGAAAAGAAAAAAATGAAACAAAGTCTTTGTAAAAAGGTAAGGGTGGAGAGGGGAAGAGAGGCTAGGGGAATGGGGAAAAGAAAACACAGGTCTGTCCTGTAAAGGTACAAGATCCCAATGATGAATGGAACTGCATTGTATAGCTAAGCTGTACCAATAAAAATAGTTTTAACAAAAGGAATGATCACCCAAAAAAGGAGTATTATTTGAATCAACAAAAGTACTTAAATTTCACCTTTTCATTTTCACTAATGGCTGCAGACAGAAAGATAATTGAAAATTTGGAGGGGTTCTTTCTCCCCTAACTCCTGATTCATATGCAGAAGCCTATACTGTTTTAATTTGCTGTCCCTTTCTCCAGAAAACTTCTACTCTCCCCTCAGGATGGGTCCAAAGTTCAGGCAAGCATTTGTCAAAGACACAAAATACAGCCAATTAAGATTTTGAAATATTCTTTTAAGTTACTCATTGATGCAATAACTTCTTTTTATTTGAAATGCAAAATAATCAACTGAAATTAAAAATAATAGTGATTGGCAGTTCTTTTGAGCAACTTATCAGTAGAAATGTACAGAGTTAAAATGTTTTCTATTGTGAACCAGATGTAATAGCGTACAAAAAAAACTTCCAACAAGACCTTATATCCTAGGAAAGGAAGACAGCTTTTAAATTTTCACTACTTTTATTCTCTATCACCAACTTACAAGAATTTTGCTGTGACTACTTTTGTCTGAGATAGTTTATTCTTCAATTTAATCAACATTTGCAGTCTCACTAAAAAAAATTCAGACAATAATAAAGCTAATTCGAAGAACTAGCAACAGTTTATGTAAAGGAACAAATGCAATCATTCTGTCTAGGCAGTAAATAATAAACATTTCACAATAAAATGCTACAATGAAAAGAAGCAAAAATGAATATTTATACAGTAGGGGAGGTGGATAAATAATTGAAACACATGTGTTATCCAAAATACCCCTTTAACAAATGATTTTAGTTTCTCCTCACCAAAAAACATTACCTAGTATTCTACTACAGTGAGAGAATTCTTTACCACTTTGGTATTGGGATTTATTAGTGCTGACACAAGAAATAAACCGAAAGACTGTATATACATCTTGGAAAAGGACCTAGAGGGCAACTGAGTTTTGTGGACATATGTCTGATTTGTATAAGATTAGATTATTTCAGAAACCTTATTGAACCAAATTTCATTTTTATGTAAGTTTCTGGAGCTAAATTTTAGATACTGTTGCAATATTTAGAAGATAACTTAAAAGAACACACATTCTTCCAAAAAGTGTACTGCCCTATGAACTGATCTCTTCTGGATTTGCCGTATGTTTCCAAAAATGACTCATTTGTGTTTTTGGTTTTTGTTTACTTTTTTGTCTTGAAACAGACACCAAAACAACCTCTTAGAAAAGTTATACTAAAACTAAACATTTTGAACAAAGAGCAAGAAATTAAAAATCATGGTATCAAATGTTTTCCTCTGTTAACTAGCAGAATGCCTCAAAATTTAAGGGGGCAAAGATAGCAAAGTATGTTTTCCCTTTAAAAAAGTTAATAACAGGGTGGGGGTGTCACTCTGGTGAGTTTCATTCCCAGCACCACAAAAACAAACAAACAGACAAACAAATTCCATCGCTGTTGTAATAACAGAAGGCAGATGGTTCACGTTTCCCTCTAGAATTTGCCATCTTTGGTGCCTCACAGTTCTCCCGTGGGCTCATACTACCCTGTGCTCCTGCTTGGCCCCTCTGGGATGTTGCCTCCATGACTAGAGCCCCCAAAGCTGAGTGTCTCAAAGTGTAGAATTGGTGGATTCAGACCTGTAAGCTGTCATGGAGGAATTGCCCGAGAGAAAGTGAGAAGAGAGAACCAAAGGTACCATACCCATACTGTGCCGACCACACTCAGGACCAGGCAGAGGCTCCTCACAGAAAGCATCTTTTTTGAGATTGGGGCTGGCTCTTGAGCTCTCCAGCCGAAAGAAAAGTCCGCACCTACCCAGAGCTTCCACCCCATTTAAATATGTGGAAGACTGATTGTTAATCATTACTCTTGTCCTGTTTGCACACTCAAAGCTCACTGCAGTCCTTTGCTCCTGCCATCATGTTGGCATCCCAGAAATCCTTGCTCAATTCTCCTCAGCTTATTTACTTCCGAGAAACTGCCACAAGTGGTAGCATTGGCTTCTCCAGCCAGCAGTTAGAGGAAGGAGCCATGTCCTTCATAACACGATGACTGGAAATGTAAAGGGAAACGAGAACACATCGGTACTTCTGTACTCAAAGTACTGAGGGTGGCTGAAGCAGACCACCTGTAGCGCAGCGAAGTAGAGATTTTAGCAAGTGACATTTCATTTTAGGTAGGAAGCAAAATTGGGCAATCTGACTTGCAAAAGCAGTTTTGTTAACAAGCTGGTCCTGAAGGCCTGCTAGAAGCTTATGTTAAAAATCTTTTTCTACCACAAATGCTTAAGATGTTTGGTTCCTGGAACCCACTCCATTTTGAGCTTCCCAACTCCACTGTGAGGCCACTGTCTGTACTGCCTAACAGAATCCTAACTCCTGTCTCGCCAATTCCTGTCACAATTTCTCAAAGTATATTCATTTCAAAGCATAAGTTATACACCTTAAATATATACAGTTTTTGTGGTACTGAAGATTGAACACAGCAACTTCACAATAAGCTACATCTTTAGCCTTGAAAAAAATCTTTTGTTAAAAAAAGAATCTTTTCTTTTTGAGACAGGTCTCACTGTTGCCCAAGATGGGTTCACACTTGTAATCTTCCTGCCTCATCCTCCCAGAGTGCTAGGATAATAGATGTGCACCACCACACTCGGCAAATTTTTATTGTTGTTGCTTATTATACTTAAATGAACCCCCCCAAAAAAAAAACTAGCTTACATTTATCACCTTTACCAAATTAAAATACCAGATGCCCAGTTAAATTTGAATTTTGGATAAGCAGTGACTATGTTTTAATCTAAGTATATCTTATACAATATTTGAGATGTACTTACATAAAATTATATTTGTTGTATATCTGAAATTCAAACTTAATAGGGTTTCCTGTAATTTATCTGGCCTGTAGCTGTAATTTATCAATCCTAGCTTGGCTCCGATTTTACTTCCTACATTAAGCCAATCCTGATAGTTATAATAGCTACTATTTATAGGGTATTTAGGTGCTGAACACTTTGCCAGCCCTTTCTCTGGGTACCTGATTCAATCTCTCCAAGTACAAGCAATCTCTTATGCCTCGGGTACTTCCATGGACTATCTCCTAGATTCTGTCAGCGTGGGAATATTGTTCATTTCCTGTACTAGCTCATACTCTTGAAAATGGGACTATTTCATTCATGTTTATAGTCTCTCCAAAAGGATCCACAGTGATCATAAAAGCATTCCTTCGGGTGTTCCACTGTTGCAAAGCTGACCTGCTACGGGCACATGAAGCCTTATAAATGGATCCAGGAAGAGGGCAGGGCAGCGCCCTCCTAAACTAGGGGAGGTTCCTTGTCAGCCCTCTAGAATTTAGGAGGCAATTGCAGCTGATCTTTCTAGAGACAGCTATAGAGTTCAGAGGGGCCCTGGGGCCGTGTCCTGGTTCCATGGAAACCTAGATTATAGTCACACATGATTACTCCTCCAAAAAAACATAATGCAAAGACAGAACGGCCAGGCTGGACCTCTGGTGTTTTCCTGTATTCACAGGAAATGCCCCTTATGGGAAATGAACAGGATGTAGCAAAGAACTCAAGGATCTGAACTCTTTAATTCACCCAAGCCTCTGCTCAAGTGGCACCTCCTCAGAGGAACCGCCTCTCGCCTTGGGACAGCCACTCCCACTGATCCCAGCCCTGCTTTATTTTTCCCCCATGTCCTTTATCACTCCTAGACAACACAACAGTGCAGGGTGGTGTATGGACAGCTGGTTTCATGGGAATGAATGAGATTCCAGCTAAGTAATATGGGCAAGCTATTTAAATTCTCTGACATGGTTTACTTACCTGCAAAACAGAATGCCAATATTTATTTTGGAGGATAATTGGACTGTATAAAATAATGAGGATTATATAAATGATTTCTATCAAATGTTGGACATGCACAGTATAATAGAAATAAAAGCTTTTAGGGTTCTAAATGTCCCATGATACAAAGATGATTTGTCTTCTCTCATGCTCTGATTCCCTCACATAGCACTTTTGTGGATGCTTGATCTGGCTCCACTCAATGAGCACACTGTGTTGTAAGTTTTGGGGAGCAGGTTTTGTTTGTGAATGAATCCATGCAGGTTAATAGGCAGCAAATCATATAAGAGGTGTCATTTTAAAAACCATGGGACAATACAGATATCTTTTCAAGGGCAAAAAAAAAAAAGGAAAAAATTTAAGAAATTTTTAGTGACTTAAATTACAACTTGCTGTTGCCCTTTGTCTAGAAGTGATTGTGCTATTTTCCTGAGCTCTACTGAGGGAAATTTATTTATTTATCCTTTTGAAATTGATAAAATATTTCATCCATTGAAAATATATGAATACAGGAATTTGCCCATTTGTTATTTCATGGCACCTAGAAGAACTATAACAGTTTTTATTTGTATGATATAGAAAATATACAGAAATAATAAAAATTACATAGCTATAGTTATGCTTCAGTCTTAAATTATATCTATTCCTCACAGAAAATATATAACCAATCATTTAGATGTTTGTTGTTGTGTGCATACAACTTAAAAATACAAAGTGAAACAAAAAAACAGAACAATAGCTTTCTCTCAAATAAAATGTTTTTTCCCATGGTCTATTGCCTATGAAAGTAAGAAACATTCCATTTTTTACCAATTTATGTTAAGTGTAGCAAGTTCTGAGAGGAGGTCATTCATGTGTTGATTGGTTTAAATATAAGAAGCACCTATTATGAATATATTGTTTGTTCAGACTTCAGATAGACAAAAAATACAATCTTTTACGTTAAGTGGCTTCCAATTGGCGAACGAGTCAAATAGATACACACCTAGGAATTTGGTTAAAACAATATAAAATAGTCTTTTATTGGAATTCCAAACAATGAGTAGCTGCAATGCTATGTCATTTAACATAAAACATAGAAAAAGTTATGTTAGACACATTCTGAGTGCTGTCAGAGTGCAGAGCAGAGAGTGATGCATTATTTTTGCCTGCTTTGGGTTACATTTTGTATAAAACATCCCTGTAAATGTCAGATTTAATTCAGGTCTCAAAAATGTAAGATGCATCTAAAACATTACTCTTTGGGTTTTCTATCATAAAAATCTACATGAATCTTCACATTTACTGTTATCCTAATGATGAGAAGATAGTGCTACTTCAAGAGGAAACACTTATTTTAAAGGATCATCAAATCCATGTTTGGAAAGTCCAAAAAATATTTTCTAAATTTCAAAATGCCAAAATCTTAAAAACTATGGCGATTTTTTTCATTTGTAAATACCTTGCAGGCTTCTGCTGGTTGACAAGTGAGCGGTCTATATAAGGCCTCACAGGAAAACATCGACAAGGCCACTTAACTTTGTGCATGGTGTTTGCTCTGCCTGTCTCATGCGTTCCAAGGGTCTTGCAAAAGTGTATTATTGCCTAGCTACTTCCCATGAAAGGTCATCGAGGTGGCACAGTAATCTACGGAAGAGTGACTAAAGGGACGTTTCTACCCTAGCTCTCAGATAGTTTCCTTGGAAGGTATAGCTGAAGAAAGAACATGAGAACGTCCTTGAATACACATATGTGATTCTGAACTACACTTAAGTGGAAAAGAGATACTAAAGTGTTTTTATTTTAGTTTGGGGGGGCTCTTGCTAGATTCTTTTATACAGTATTTCCCTGTAATCTTGTTCAGGAAAGAAATCTACCAATTTCTTACTATAGAAACTGTCTTCAGATTACTAGCCATTAAAATGAATAATTTTCAAAACATTTTCAGAATTAAAATCTACCGTATTCCAAAAATATAATAATTCTTTTTTATAATTAGGTTAAATTTCATGGCCTTTTACTTGAGCACACACAGTCAAGCTCCCACTAAGCAGTTAGCAAGGGCAATTCAGCCATTTTTCAGACTTACATGTAATGTGCTTTCTCTAGATTTACTGATCCAGTAGGGAATTTATTGACCCAATAGCAAAACGAGTCATGTCGCAAGGGTACATGGAAAGAGCAGATATTTAGGAAACAGAGAGGGGGACAGGTCCAGTGTTCTGTCACCTACCTTTGTGTCTCACACTTTTCTGGGCCCACTGGATTGGGTGGGACTAATTGCAGCACAATCTTAAGGTGCTGTTCATCCCCAGGGAGACACACAGGTCGCGTTACTGCTTCCCCATTCTGAGGCCTAGCTTTCTTCAGATTGGCCTCCAGCCACAACTCTGATGTCTCTACTTATTGTGCTGAATTCCTTGAGGGCCCAGTCCCTCTCTGACCAATTCAGTTACCTATAATAATATTTTACAAAGTTCCCGACAAGCATGCCGGAATAGACTCCTCTACCTTGTTGTGGGCATAAAATACGAAGGACTAAAAACTACAGACCAAACATGGCTGAAGACGTGTGATGATGAGTGTAACATGGTATCCTGGATGGAATTCTGAACAAGAAAAGGACAGTAGTGTGAAAATGAGTGAAGTGGGAATAAAGAGAGCAGTTAGGCCAGGGTCATGCACCAGAATTTGTCCTTAGTGATGAAAGCTGCTCACACTAAAGGAAACTGGGTGCTCGTATAGGGAACACATATGTAGTATACTTTTCTCTAAATATAAAATTTAAATTTTATTAAAAATAAAAGCAAAACACATTAAGTTATAAACTGATATTAAAAAGTCTAACCAATATTTCAACTCAAAATGCCACACAGAAGTACAAATCCTAAGGACAAAAAATAACTATATTTTCTTTTTATTCTCTTGTATCTGGAGCATTTCATATCTTATCTCACTGAAGTCCTACCATAGCTTTGTGGTGTAAGGAAAGCAAATTATAAA